AAAAAGTCATTAAAAGTTCTGCTATTCATCTATACATTGCAAAACTAAAAAGTATCACGTGGGGTGTGTTAGGTTATTTTCGTTACGGAATTTCTAGATTCGGTCTCCACGCTCAAGGCCCGCGATAGAAGCTATGCAATAGCTTAAAAAAAGTTGCAAAATAATTTACATTATTTTTTTAATTTTATTTCCGATCACGGCGTGAACGCATAATTAAACATACAATAATATAATAATAATCAAATTATATAAACTTATAACAATGCGGTACGTATTTAGAATGAAAACACGTGTCACATTCATCAGCCACCGACTACGATCAATGCCAAATGTTTTACGAAACGTGAGTTCATGAATACGCATCTTTTGTTTAACGCAAAAACTAAGATACCATGACCTGTTTTGTTTATTTTATAGTATTTTATTTAAGTGCCACTTTACGAGTACACATGATGCTTATCAGTGAACGATTTTACACCATTTTCGAGATTAACTGCTTTTGAAAACAAAGCAAATATTAAATATTGCATGTAAAAGTGTTACTTTATCATTTCATTGGGACTCGTGGCTAAGTGGTTACCGAGTAGGTTAACACATTGCAAAGTTAAGCAATCCTAGCTAGGTCAGTCTATGGATGGGTGACCATTCTTAACACATTAAGACCCCTCCATGCCTCGGAGAGCATGAGTTCGTTTGCCCGTTCTTCTCATAAAGCTCAACAACTTGGAAACGGGCGGTTAGGCATATCATAGATTTTGTAGTTTAATTTTTATTAAATTTATTTTGCTTACTATTTGACAAAACAGAGATTGTTGCTATTGTGTGTGTTGATCTATGAATTTAGAGTCCACATAAAAGACGATTTCAAACAATTAAAAAAAAAAAATGAAATAAAGACTTTGAGACATTGACTTTGACACATTAAGCTGTCGGGCGCGGTTGCTATAAAAACATCTGTAGCAATCGTTACGGGTAGTTGGAACCCTTTTTTTTTTGTTGACGGGGTGGAAAATACTTTCGGATCTCCTGCTCCTCGGGGACTCAGGAGCCAGGAGTATGTGGTGATTCCACTAAAAACCACCCCGACGGCCGGCCTTAGGTGTCCTGCTCTGGGGAGGACCCGGACCATGTTATTTCAGGTCCTCCCCGGGGTAGTTGGAGCCCTAAAAAGGCCGACAAAAGTCTTTCTACAGAACTTCGATATCTCCCAGTACTTAGGTTGTGGAGGACTGATTGCAGACTCTCCGCGTAAAAAAATCGAAGTTCAACCGTATCGTAGAAGACTTAAAGCCGACCCCAACCTAGTTTTGGAATACGAATCTGTGGAAGATGTATTCTGCTTTAATGGAAGTTATCAGAGAGTTTGTTCCATGAATAATTATATCCAAATTGAATTAATATTATTCAGACACACTTACGTATGTATCTATATACGTATTATTGTACGTCATTGGTTCTTAAGTCGAAGTCCGGATGTACATGAAAGTGGCAAGAAATATTTCCGTAACGTAATTCAAGGTCAACTTTTTGTTTAGTAAGTAATTAGAAACGTCAAAACTAAATTAACATTAAATTGAATTTCGAATAACCTTGTCGAGTCTAGTTTTTTTTGTCTGTGGTAATCAGATGTACTTTTAGATAAGTTTCACAAGACTTCAATTTGTTCAATTTGTGTTGTTAAACTGTGTTCTTCATTCCCTAATTTTGCACCCTGAGGGTTGGCATTTTTTCTTTAATTTAAATGGGACTGAATGACTCATAAATGAAAAAAATATTTAAGTCGATTCACAAATAATGGAGTTTTGAGGAGACGACACACAAAATAAAATACGACCGAATTTAGTCTCTTATTTTAAAGTCCGTTAAAAAGGAACTGTAATCCGTCATCAAACCGGTAGAATATTTAATTAAGGTACGATAAAAGTAGTAGGTATCAAAGACAAGGTTCGGAATGAACTGCTGCTCCATCAGGGGGAGCTTAAAAGTTGCAAAGATAACGGACAAACTGAGCGAAGCTAACATGGTAGGGTCACGTAATGCGTAGAACCGAGGATCATGTCAAAGTCGTGGCCTTTCTATGGCTACTATAAAGAGGGGAAGAGGAAGCTGGGGCTGACGAATGTCCAGAGGGATAGGCAGGAACTGGGTCTGAGGGAAGAGGACGCACAGCGACGCACGTGGCGTCGCATGATTGGAAAAGCCGACCCCGTGTAGCTGGAGAAGGCGAGGCCAAAGAAGAAAAGTAGTAGGTATGAATAAGGATTTTGTCTCACTTATGTTACTTTTTGAACGAAGTTCCTTATCGCGGGTTGTGAAAGGGGGTTAGACGGAAAAAAATCTCACGAAAAGTTGTAACGACACTTTTTATTTTGAATTGTCACTTGTCAGTCATTCAGCGCCATCTATAAATGTATAAATTGTTTTAATTAGAAACCACCTGAAAAATATGTAGGGAATAGCCGCTTTCATAGATATAATATATGATATATCCCACACACTCACACACGGCTGTCTGATCCCAAACTAGGCAGAGCCTGTACTATGGTAACCAGACCGCTGATGAACATACTTATATATTTCTAAATACATACATATTATAGATAAATTACATCCAGACACAGAACAAATGACCGTGCTCATCACACAATATTTGTCCTGGGTGGGAATCGAACCCACGACCTCTGGTTTAGCAGTCAGGGTCACTAACCGCTAGACCAACAGGCCCGTCAAGATAGCGTTGTAATTAAAATCGTGTTGAATCAGTTTTACTCGATCGTCACAACTTCGTTCCTATCGGGTGTCCCACGACGCCACACGGCTTTTTTTTATTTCATAACTCGAGTAGTTAGGTTTCTGAACATACGTCTTATCAATAAATCAGAATTAAGCACTGTTGTACAATTTTAAAACACGCAGAGGTACGTATCAGTGCGGTGTTTTATTGTTTTGTTTTATGATTAAATATAAATACTGCATGCTCAAGGTTTTTGCGCTGTTTCGTGACGCTCTATATAAGAAACTAGCTGACCCGCGAAACTTCGTCTGCGTCTCTCAATAGTAATAAATTTTCTCCGTTTTTGAAACATTCTTCATTGGTGCTCCGCTCCTATTGGTCTTAGCGTGATGATATATAGCCTATAGCCTTCCTCGATAAATGGGCTATCTAACACTGAAAGATTTTTTTTAATTGGACCAGTAGTTCCTGAGATTAGCGCGTTCAAACAAACAAACAAACAAACAAACTCTTCAGCTTTATAATATTAGTATAGATTATTATCACTTCACATCAAAAGCCTTTAATAGTCCACTGCTGGACATAGGCCTGTCTTTAGAAAGAAGGATTTGGCGTACTATACCACGCTGGCCAGACGAGATGGCAGACGTTTTGTGTCAAGTTTTCCTTCTCTTTGCAGTGCTGTTGTCCTTCGTAGTTTGCTCCCTTAGTAGGCTCTTACGACACCCACGGGATGAATAGAGTTGTTGACATTCCGTATTCTCAATCCGTCACTACACGGATTAACTTTTACCAATTATTATACAGTCTAAAGTGTACATATTTCGAGCTATATATATATATATATATATATAGCTCGAAATATGTACACTTTAGACTATGAATATATATATTCATAATATTTACGCTATTATATATATATTCTCCGGTGAGGGTGGATATTTGAAGGGCGGCAATGCTCTTGTCTCTTGAGCAGCAGGTGTCTATGGCGGAAGTCACTTACCATCAGGTGAACAGTCTGCTTTTATGCACCTTATACTATAAAAAATACTATTTTTTTTATGGAAGAGGGGACGAACGCCGCCCATGAACGCCTCCAACTCAGGAGTTGCGCGTTGCCGGCCTTTGAGGAAGGAGTACGCTCTTTTCTTGTAGGTTTGGAGGTCGTATCGGCGCGGAAATACCGCAGACGATAACTTGTTCCACAAGTTGGTTGTGCGAGGTATGAATGACATAACTTATAATTTAGTTTACAAGAGGTCTAGCTAAACACAACCGCATTAATAAATCTCTTAAATACAATGTACCTACATCATAATAATAACTTGAAACATCTCACACACCAACGTCTAATCCTAATCTAGGCAACATGTGCTATGGTAACCAGAAGGCCAATTTTCATGGTAAAAGTTCGGTCACAGTTCAGTTCCGATCAAGTCTCGATCTCGCAATTGTCATACACGATATTATAATAGTAAATTATTACTAAACTAATTCAATATTCGGTCACAATACGATATAATCACATTACAGTCAACGTTTGATGTTTAATAATTTACTACGAAAATACCTCTTATGAGAGTTGTGCGTTGATCGGCACTGAATTCTGTCACCAATGGAAAGCTTTTATCATCGAATAGCAGAGGCTTTTACCACGATAACCGATATACAAGCGGGCAAAAGCTGGTAATATATATTTATTATTCTTTTATTTTTTACACTTAATTTTATTTTTTACCGTGTGGTGACGGATGGTCCGTGTGGTGACGGATTAAGAATACAGAGTGTCACCACCCCTATTCATCCCGTGGGTGTCGTAAGAGCCTACTAAGGGAAAAAAACTACGCAGAACAACAGCACTGCAGAGAGAAGGATAACTGGACACAAACCCTATACCAACCCGTCTGGCCAGCGTAGTATAGTAGGCCAAAACCTCCTTTCCAAGGAGAGGCTTATGTCCAGCAGTGGACTATTAAAGGCTGTTGATGAACACTTAAAATCATAAATAATATAAATGAGTATTTCTCAAAATAAATGTACGTAACGAAAAGGTAGTAACGAAATATTGTTACGAAATAGTCCTTAGATGTAACTAAATAGTAACCATAAGGCTCGTTATACATTGGCGAAATATTGTGAATGCTCTTCATTCATTCAATCCGAAATATTTGTAAGTATGTACCCAAATACTTAAGGGGTTAGAAATAAACTAAGGGAGTAATCATTTATTTTAATCAACTTAAAAAGTTTTCCAATCTTTTGAAAATTAAAACCAGACGTTGTTAAAAAAAAAAAAATTAGAATCGCTATCCATTAGCGCTTTATAAATTTCTTCCTTATCTTTATAATAATTGAATTCTTTCCGGAACACATTTGGTTTGACAATCCGTTTTTTAATCTTTGGATCACATCGCTTTGGCGCGTGAAGATAATTATTTAGTGATAGAGGTTTAAGTCCTTTATAAACCACTTTCTTTTTTGTGTGTATATTTTCCAGTTTTTCGTCGTTAAGAATAGTAAGTGCACATGTTTTGCCTTTGACTTTGTGAGTGCCTTCAATTGGTACATTTTCATCATTATTATCATTTTCATGTTCAGTGTTATTTTTTGTTGCATTATTATTTTTTATTATAACATCTACATTGTCCAAATCATTGAAATTAAACTCCGGTTCATTAAATGTCATTGCATCACACATAATATATTTCTCAGCCATAGTTAAAACTTCGTCACTTACTAAATCCTCGAGAATTATTGGCTTTGTATTGATATCAGTTGTTGATCCTTCTTCCTCATGACTTTTTATTTCTTTACTTGGTTTGTCTGTTTCACCTGTTTGTTTTAATACATTCATTATATCAATTGGATATTTGTCTACTTCCATATCTTTTTGTTGCTTTACTGTTTTCTTCCCTGTTCCTTTTCCTTTATTCTTAAAGTTTTCTTTGCCTTGTTGTGTTTCGTCTGCCTTGAGGCATTTTACTTCAGTATCATAGAAAGCATGGTTTGCAGACATAAATCTTGACGAAGATAACAATGTTACTTGTTCTGGGGGTTGTCGTTTAACTTTTCCCTCCTTTGATGTGTCCTGAAACTTAAAAACATGCCATTAAAGCGTATTTAAAAATAATAGATTTTTTTTTAAATAATTGATTTTAAAAGGTATTTCTTAGTTTTTTATTTGTGTTGATTTGTGTTTGACCCTAAAATACGTCAAAAATAATAAATCTCTTTAATATTTGCTCTCAAATTGACATTCACCTCTAAGTCTTGATCACTCTCTCTGTCATCTATAATGGGTAAATTATTGTCCTCATTCGAAAAATCCGCATCTATCAGATGTGAATCACTATGATAACTTTTACTGATATCACTCTCCGTCGTAGTAGAACTATTTATTCTTTTGAATCTTTTCGTTGCTGGTTTTTGTTTTTTCAAGGATTGTCTTTTGTTACTACATGATGCTTTTGGTTCTGATAGGGTTTTGGATAGAAGTTCATGTTCTTTAGTGTAGTAACAATCACAGCAGATGTTTTTATGGCAATCAAAGCAGCTCAGCAATTTATATTTAATTGTCGTGTTGCCATCCGTTATAATTTGATGCTGCTTCATTGTTCCTTTTATAGGAATAATATTTTCAGGGATATTTTTGGTCATCTTCTCAATGTCGTTTTCATTTATATAAAACATTTTTACTTTACTGTTAACCATTAAATAGTCATATGCTTCTTTTGCGTTGGTTATGTCATTGCCATGTGATATATGATTGTCAAGTTGGCGCTTTAATGCCCCACCAACCCCGTCAGCTGGCCCTTTGCCATGAGAGGCTTCAAAAAAATTCCAAGTTGCATATTCAAATCCGTATTCTTTTATATTCTGTTGGAACAAGAAAAAATTATGTTTTTGGCGGTACTGAGTTGCAGGGCTATCAGAAAATATATGAATCTTTTTAATGATAAAGTGTTGGCATAGTTTCATTATTGGATCCAAATGGGCCCAGATTGCTCCAGGACCATGTTCATTACTTGGGGATATGGAGCATATCGATTGGGGATTCACATTTTTTCTGTAAAGGACGCAAGTGTGCAATGTGACTTGATTTCTAGACCCTCCGAAGTGTACCGCCTGAATTTCTTCAGACTGCTTGCACGAAAAGTTTTCTGAAAAATCGCAAATCAATGCAGCTTCGTCTTCATCAAGGTTTTCAATACACTTTTTCCACGCTAAGTACTGATGTTGAACATTGTAGTAGTGAGTTTTAAATTTTTGAACATCATTTTGAAATTCTTTTATCAATGTATTCACTGTTCCTTTCACTACCTGTTTTGAATACTTTTTCGTCTGTTTTTCTACGCATTTCTTTTTGTCAATTTTAATATAAGTGTGTATGCCAATTTTCCATTGAAGCCACTCCACAGGGCTGTCTTCATTTATTGTCAAATCGACAGCTAGTTTCTTATTTTTGCATTCAGAACACTCAGAGTACATGCATTTAAAACATTTGCTGCAAGTGACATTTTTCATAAGTTCGTCAATGTCAGATGTCTTAAGCAAACCTAGCTTCTTCAACGATATTGCCTTGAAAGATAAATTACTATGCTTTATGCAAGCACAAGTATTCCTATCTTGAAGTCTTGGTTTCACAACGGAGAACGGTCGAAAACGATAAAAAGTTTGCAAAGACGCTGTACCACCCTCTATCGTGTATTTTCTATAGAGCTTGTATATTGGTTCCATTAAATATCTCTTTTGCACTTTTTCTTTGTTTCTCGTTATGCACTCGTTTTTACCCGCACTAGGTCTACTTACATCTTCTCTTTCAAAGAAATCTTGTATATCTTTCTTCCATTTCTTTTTTATTTCGTTTTTTGATTTCGTCTTTCTTATTCTTCCTTTCAGACCAAGAACATTAGAAATAGCTGTTTTTAATTTATATTTATTTGCAATATCGTTGGTAGCTACTTTTTTTAGTATTTTCTTCTCTTTGGTATCTGCTTTATTAAACTCTGTTTTTAAAGAATCTGTAATTGTGTTTAGCAAAATTAACTGTCTTTTTACCTTCTCTTTTTCCGTCATGGACACATTTGGTAAAGTTTCTTCTAAAAAACTATTCGATTTTGTTAATGGTGTGTCGTCACACTGTCGAGTTTCAATGGAAATAGCATCATTATCAGGCCTAATTTGTTTGGGTAATAGTTTTTTCAGAATTTTGAATCGCTTTTTCATGCGATTACAGGCCTGTCTTAAATTCTTATTTCGTCGTTTTAATTGAGTATTTTCTTCAGTGAGCTTTTGTAGTCTCTCCTTTAGGATTGTTGTATTATTTTTAGCATTTTTTCTTACTTCTAATGTGTTATTTTGTTTTGTCGTAGAGTTGGCCTTTTTTTTTCTTTCAGCTCTTTTAGCATTGGCTTGCCTCCACTTTGCTCGAAGCTCTTGTTTTTCTTCTTCTGTAAGAATTTCTTTTTTCTTTTTGATATTTTCTTTAACTTTTTCCAAATGTTTAACACGGATTTCCTCATATTTACTTGGTTTATCCTTTTTCAGTCTGTCTCTGTAAGCTTTTTGCCTTTCGGCATTGGTTTTTGGGGGCATTCCTAAAAAAGCAAAAGAAGAAATGCAGTTGTATATAAGCAGTTGTAAGTAATAACCAATAAGTCAAATCAATAAGTAAGCAAGAGCTAAGTATTTGTAATAATCGGTATGATTCTATTCTCAAGCGAATTGAAACAAAGCCGCGAAAAAGCGCGGCTTTTTAAACGACTTCAAAAAACAGGAAATTCTATTGAGAACTGTAAGTAAGTATAAGCGGTAAAAAGTATGTAAGTAAGTATAACAGGTAAAAAGCTGAATAAATGACATAAAAACGTTATCTAAATGAATAAAGATGACTTTTGATTATTTTTTGCTGGTGGCACTTCTGTAGAGCAGATATATCCAACCCTTTTGTTATTAACGCTCTGTATATATTTTTTATAAATTAAGTAGTGAATATTACTATGCTTAGTCAGGTTATAACAGTATACACTCAGCTTTATGTTGTACTTTTTCGTTACGTAACGAAATTCGTTACGAAATATTAGACAAAATGAGGTTAGAAAAAGTAGTTTTTTGATAAAAGCTGTTACAGCAAATATGTAAGCTTATTAAATGTTCGTACCACACGTACAAAAAATGGGTTAAATGAATACTTACCGTTTTGTAAAAAATGGCTGATTTATATTTCCTGTCACGAAAAAGTGTTCCACAAAACACACACGTTCTCACTGATTTTCACGATAAATATAATGGCGGAGACGTCGGACCAACAACCAATCAGAATGACGCTAGTGTTGGCCGTGTAAAAAAATTACGGAATCGTTCAAAATTCATGGGAAATTAGAAATAAATCGTAACTAAAGAGTAATAACTAAATAGTAAATGAAAGCGACTCATTTTGTTTTTTTGCTTTAAATTGCCAATTCATTATGAAACCCCATAGAAAATCACTTTGATACAGAAACTGCGATTAATGTAGACCGATGATACAAAGAAATTTACAATAATTGAGTTACGTATCGCATTTTATGAAACAAAAACACATGAAAAAGGGAGAGTGGCAAATAGGTTTTTGTATGAAAGGTAAAAAACAACTATTTTTAAAATATTCAAATATTTGGTAATAAGTAAGATTATAGTGATCATTCTTCGTTATCTTAAAGATTAATATTTATCCTACAAAATTGTGTGCGTGGATTTTTTGTATGATGATTTATAAATATATAACTTTTGAACTATTTCGACGCACACTTTTTTTTGCAAAGATGTACATGTTTTTTGAGAAATACTCAAATACATACATATAGAGGTCCAAACAAAAATACACAAACTCCTTTATAACGTCAAGTAGTGATTTGTGACTTGTATTATTATGAGATAAATACATAATATAGATAAAATACACCCAGACAAGAAACGGTCCTGCTTATCCCACAATTATTTGTCCTTGGTACAACACAAAGTTGCTAACCACTAGGTCAACAGGCCAGTTTTCCAGCCCATTACAATCTGTTAAGTACATTATTTATTTATTTGATCTTGGAAGACCCAGCTTTAGAAATTGATTTAATATTGTGTAAATGTGTAAATTGTGTTAATATTCAGCCATTGACAGGTCTTCACGAATAGAAAACAGTTTACAATAATTAAGTGCGAGGATTTAGTATTTAAGCGCTTATAAGTTTAAGAAAGAATCAAGCACAACACTTAATATAATTAGAATTCTGAAAAGAACTCATAATAACTAAGAACCTCCAATGCGTTATCATAACGTATCAAAAACCGGTTTGTACCGCAATTCCGGTTTAGCACTATTCTATCACATTCCAGATTTGACATACAAATAATTTTATATTTAGACGCAGATACTATAACAGAGTACTTGGCAGAGCAAAATTAACTTTTTTTAATGTACGAGTATCTTCTACCTTGCGCCTACATCACGATGAATTGCAATAAACTGTATTTTTTCTATTTAATAAACTGTATTTTTTTTAATTTTAATGAGACCAAAGAGGAAGTTTCTTTGAAATAAAAAGGTAATTTTTAAAATCGATTCATAAACAAATAATGAAAACCGATTACCGAATAATTAGTTCAAAATTGATGCCAATTTAGAATTAAGTTTATAGGTTACGATGTGAAACTATTTAATTATTTACAGCAATAAAAGCCTTTTTTTCATTTTTGTTTATAAAAACTGACTCGACAAAAAGAAATGAGAAAACATTATATCTGTCAAACGTAAGTTTTTAGTAAAATACTTTTTTGCTTTCTATGGTCACAGATAATATATGTATTTACTTCTAAACAAAGTGTTACTTCATTGTGCCACATTTTATAAATAGCTGAGTAGTACTAAAATACACATTTTACAAACACAATAATGTTTGTACAACAAATTATCAAGGTCATCAGCTTCCAATAAGAATTATTTAAACTCAACAATCACTTGACTAGAAGACGGACATAGCATTTGACATAAATAACGATGAAAATACATGTCATAGAGAAATGAATACTTAAGATGTTTTACGAAATCTGTAGGTACTACCTCAAACTTGAAAGTTGTTGGTGTTGCCAAATAATATGAAAATCGTGAGTAATCGATTCGTTTTAGCGCTCTATAATTATTATATTTTTATATTTTAAAGAAAAATTACTACCATTACCTACAAGCAAACAGCACACGAGTGCGGGAGCCATGGAGGTCAAAATGATCCCTCCTTCTCGAATCGTACACGAAAGCAAATACGGAAGAAAGGCAGTCGACAAAACTTTCGCCCGAATATTCGGTTAATCAAGGTTCAATGTTGCCCGAATTTACTGTTTTATCTGTTAATGAGCACTTGTTAGTAATAAACGCGTGCTTTAAGAAGTCTTGACGGATTGGGCGCTTTTGGGGGACTGTCTTTATGTAAACAATGACGTTCCAAAAGTGCTCGCACTCAGCCTAATACGAATAAATAATATAATGAAATGACTTTTAATTGTGATAATGCTAGCAACGCCTTCGTTGAACATCAAACAAAATGCAAAAATATTTATTTTTTACTCAGTAAATAACAAATACATATTTTTAAATTTAGTTTATTATAAATAATTTTAAGTACTTATAAATTATTTAATACTAAAAATTTTGTAATTAATAGGTAATATTCTGATATTAATCTAAGATCATGTGTATGTAAGAGCTACCTATATAAACGCAAAAACTTTATTGACCTTCCAAATCGTGCCGCATTGTTTTCCCAAATCTTTAAAAAACACTAATGTACAATACTAAGTTTTTTTTTTTTAATTCAGGTATAGATATAATAATATATGATTAAAAACTAAATTTGTTTTAGTTTAAAAATTTATAAATAGAACAGTTTTAAGAACTCATTCTAGGCTTTAGTAAAATAAAGTATTCTTAGCAAACTCATTCTAACATAAAATAAAGCTCTCACTAATATTCCCGCCAAGAATCGTTTTATTGTATTTTAATCACAAGTGTTGTATTGTTATATTGTGATGTTACACAGACAATGTTGTACGATCGTGTGGCTATTCATTTCTTAAGTAGCCTTCGAGGACAAAGACGTGAATGTCCGTAAGTTAATAGCCTAATCAACATAAACAATAATGACATAAAGTTAGAAAAAAAACAAATCTTAGCGTGGTAATAAATTTCATTTTGGCACTGGCATCATTAAGGCGGTCTAATGTCAATTTTTTTCTTTACGTGTATTAGCCGACCTCACAATAGAGAAAGCTTTTAATGCGGTCGACTTATTTTTTTTTAAACAATTATTCTGTCTACATGCAGTCTTTTTTTTATTATCTTTGCCAGTATTATTTAAAATCTCGAAACATTCGGTAACTAAATAATCGGTAAATTAAAACTAATTTAAGATAAATTAGTTTTACTATAATGTTTAAGCATTAGTTAATCGAAATGTAAAATATCTAAATTGAACGTAAAAAAAAAAAGTTTGTACCTTCGAATATAATTTATAGAACATCAATATCAATGCACTTTATTATTAATTAAACTTTTATTATCAGCAAGTAGTTAAAAGCGAAAAATATTCAACTTTTAACACATGATCACGCTATATTTAAACGATAAATGAAAATGTTTACTACATCTTACATTAACTTGCATTAAATGAATATTTTACTACCTAGGACCATTCCTGTAGAAAAATAAACCAAATCTTTCCGATACACAAATCCTGTTTTCTTCAATAAATCTCAAATTCTCAATATGCCTCAAAGAAAACTATATAGAAATGGAAAATTTCATGACATCAAAAGCCTTGTATAAATTCATATTTACTATAGATTCATATTACACACGCACACACACACACTTACACTAATTTATGTAATCTAGTATTTATTTAAATTTAACTATTTACAATTTTAAATGTATATGCCCATGTACTTTTTTTTAATATTATGAAAGTCAATAACGCCTTGTTCTTAATACAGGCCTACGGGCTATTGAAGCAGTAATAGTACGGTTTTCTTTTAAGATTTTTCGATTTTTCAATCGTTCAAACGAGAATAATTTAAGCCAAGCGCACACTTCGAGATTTTCTAACATAGGAGTTGGCGCGCTTTACAAGTATTTCTGTCATAAGACTTGAAAATCGATCCAGACTTGCTTTGAAATGCGCACAATACCGTAAAAGCAATTAAGTACAGTGTGTGATATTAATAGACAGTGGTTTGTGCCGTGGGTCGAGAAACCCGCAGTGAGCGACTATTCTTAATGTCACTTCAAGGATACAAGAGGTAATTAATCGAAATATACATTGTATTGTGTAGGTATTGAAAAAAAAAAAAACTATGAAAAACCTCTCGAGGGAAAAATACCTTCTCCATCCTGTCATAGGTTTCTTCCTGAGGTCTTCTTCACTTAAACCATAGAGGCCGATACACGCGAGGAACCAAGCCGTCACTATCAAGTAACAGATGACTATCACTCGGAACGGCAGCAGTATTACTGTAAATATCGCCGTCTGCAACAAAATGTAAAATGTTAATGTTGACGATTTTTTCTTAAAAACAACTCCCCGCATTAGGATATATATCATATGTCACGGGGGACTTCACAAACATATATGAACGGACACAAAAAGAGAGCCAGACTCAGAACAATAATTATTGGATCACATAAAGAGGTTTCCCATATGGGGATCGAACCCACCCTAAGCGCAGCAGGAAGCGACGTGGCGACCGCTTAAACCACTACGCTATCCGTGCAGTCGTATTCCAACAAGACTGATTCTCCGTTCTTTTTATCCAATTGCGCAAGAAGGAGGGTTATTTTTCGAGTATATTTAGGGACATATTACATCTATATACCTATATTTAAAAAGTTCGTTTGTGTACGATTCAAAAACTCAAAAATGTCTCCATCGATTGAGCTCAAATTTTGACAAGATATACGAACCACTTCAAAGATTCTTCTTTAACTATCTAATTAAACCACAATTTGCCACAGCGAAGCATGACAGGGTACAGCTACTAGTGTATACTTTTGGCACGCTCCGTAGCCTTAACTGCTTGATATATTTTACCTCTTTGAAGTTGGCACCACAAATTGAACGTGAAAACGAAAAATAACCGCAAATTAAACGTGAAAACGAAAAATTAATCGCAAGCAAGGAAACCCGACATTCGGTTTGCATGCTAGCTTCAAGTGAAGTTGGTATGTACCTTAAAATCGATTAGGATTGTCCTAGACAATTGTACCTGGGCTCATAATTTGCCGCTCATTAGCCGCTAACGATACTGTCGCATATTTATATAATAGGTCTTTACCTATGAAATTGCCGTTTTGTAAGCAATAAGTGAAAGTACTTATTTTTTCAAACTTTTTTATTTCTGTTATTCGAAGTAATCACCCATGCAATCGACGCTTTGCCAACGCATTGGCAGTTTATTGATGCCCTTCTTGTAAAAATTAGCTGGACGGGAGGCAACAAACTCTTCAAAGGCATTTTGTACTGCCTCTCGGGAATTGAATCAATAAACTGCCAATGCGTTGGCAAAGATGCGTCGATTGCATGGGTGATTACTTCGAATAACAGAAATAAAAAAGGTTTGAAAAAATAAGTAAATTCACTTATTGCATACAAAACGGCAATTTCATAGGTAAACACCTAATATTTTAGCTTGAGAGGTGTGGTTAGTACCTATTTCAAGATTTTGGTCGATTTTTTAAGCAACTTTACGTCTCCAAATTTTTGGCTCATAATTGCTCAAATTGCATAAAAATGGCTAAAATTAATGGCTTTCTGAAATGTTGTTCCGCGTGATGACGAATTAAGAATACAGAGTGTCACCACCCCCATTCATCCCGTGGATGTCGTGAGAGCCGACTAAAGGAAAAAATTACGCAGAACAACAGCACTGCAAAGAGAAGGTAAACTTGACACAAACCCTATACCAACCCGTCTAGCCAGCATGGTATAGGAGGCCAAAACCTCCTTTCTAAGGAGAGGCTTATGTCCAGCAGTGGACTGTTAAAGGTTGTTGATGTGATGTGAAAATATTTTACAAAATTATAATTTACGTTCAAATTTTAAGACTTAAGTATAAACAAATTTTAATCCACAATAAAATCCTAAACGGTGATAGCTTACCAACAAAAAATCTACAACATACGAACACTCCGAGTGCTTTATTTATATATTGTATGCATATATTTTGTTTATGCTTATATCGAGTGTAAGTTCGATTAAGACTATTTAACATAGTACATTACGTATCATTTTATTTTTAAGAAACAAGGATGTCTAAAATCAAAATCTTCATTACAGGAAAACAATTAAATCTTACTACTTTTTGCGGTTTAAAAAATGGGCTTCGAGAGTTAGCTATTTTCATCATTTTTTTTATGTTGAGATGAGATTTCATATTCTCGATCTCTGTCAAAAGCATTAAAGAAGTATTACATATACGGTATATCCATAATATGAATTAGGTATATTTATAATGATAACTTCACACATCTCACACTCGGCGTTCTGATCCTGAACTAGGCAGAGCCTGTACTATGGTAACAAGGTCTACAGGCCCGTCAAATATATTTATAAATATATAATTAAGTTTATTTGCCCGGTTGATAGGCTTTAGGCTATAGGGATCCATTAAAATGATGGTCGGTAAAGTGTGTGCTTTTAATACTTCTCTGTACACCCCTTCGAAAAGAAAAACGTCAGTGTATATCATCAACAGCCTCTAATAATTGGCGCTGGACATAAGCCTCTCCTTAGAAAGGATGTTTTGGCCTACTATACCACGCTGGTCAGACGGATAAGTATAGGGTTGGTTTTAAGTTTCGTTTCTCTTCGGAGTTTTGCGTAAGCTCCATTAGTTGGTTCTTACGACACCCACAGGATGATTAATGGTGGTGAAACTCCGTATTCATCACTAGACGGACGTACCTATTCCTACCTACCTTTATAAGTAGGTACATTTTACACGACGTAGATGTTAACCTCAGAAGGTTTAAATCTATGTCGTGTAAACATGTTTTTGATGTTTGATAAACTGACCGGTATTGCAGAGAATACAGTAATACTACGGCAATACAGCGGTAAAAAAAAAAAAACAAAAGATATAAAACAAATATTTTTGGAACGAAGTGCCTTATCGCGTGTTACACGTTTTGAGCGGATGGGAGCGAGAAAATGAGTACCAAGACTTTTTCCGACACTTCTTCTTCTTATCGCAAACCAATTATTACTGTGATTGAAAATAATGATAGGCTATAGCCATAAAAAATACACACAGCTGAATTTAGGACCTCCTTTTTTTATTGAAGTAGGTTATAAGGAAAAAAACACATTTGTATATTTGGCTATAAAATGATCACAAAACAACCATGTTTATATCAAAGTACTTTCACTTAACTTTATAATTGTTATGTAATCAGATGAGGGTTAGGAAAATGAAGGCTTGTTACTTAGTCGGTTACTCAAACTTATCTAATAGCCTAATGGGACCAGCAATGCAGAAGCGTATCTCTATAAACCATGTCACGGATTAACAACTAACTTTCCCTCGAATATAACTAGAAAAACGCGTAACGAGGAAACATTTTCGTCAAAACACGTTAACGCGGTTGATACAATATAACTATATCCAGTTTTACAACATACATGACTTTAGTTAAAAAAAATGTAGTAACTTTTGAGAGACCTTGCTCTTGCTTCTTGTAATATGATATTATCGCGTCCTACGCTCAACGACTATGAAAATTGCTAATTTATTTAGAAATATACGGTTTTATTGAAAATAACCGTAACGCACGTAAATCCCGTTACAATAAAATTAGTCGGATTTATTCGCATCTCTATTTAATTTGAATGGCAAAACTAAAGAAACAAAAATACTTCCGCATTACGGTTTTTCAATTTAAAAACAATACCATTCAACAGATTATTTTACCTAATGGTTATTGTTAATTTGCTTACCCTTTCAAAACACAGAATTAATGTGATTGAACTATAAAATGGGTTATAATTCGTCATACAGCACAAAAATGATCTATAAAAATATGAGAAGACCCAATCCATTTGTATGCAGTCTAATAATAAATATCAGGGTCTTAAACATCTAAACGTGTACTGGGATACATATTTGGCAATCTCAACTAATTTAATTGTTCCATGTTCAATGTTGGAATAATTTTAAATAAATTATATTTATTAACAATGTTACTGAAAGCTATGGGAATGATTGTATATCTCTGATTACTTCTTATGTTTGTTGCTCTCATCTCTGATCAGATGCAATTTCAGTAGGTACAAAGTGGTTCTACGACAGACATGCGCAGAATACATGAAAATTCGGAAGCGTTTACTGCAAAGGAAAATATTTAGTCGCAAAAATCTGTTATGCAACATATCAGTGGCTTGTCGTACCTTTATTTTGTCATATGTATTATCTAACTCCAATTTATGAACGAAAGGGTTTAATATTTCGGCGCGCATGTCGTCAGATGAGAAAGCGCCGGTTTCACTATGCAGTTTGCCATTCATTTTCACCACAGCATAAAAAAAAACACTGTACTGTTTTTGTAACCTCAGATTAGATCACACTGTAAGCACTCATCTTTGTTAACTTGACACAAAACGTGAATAATCACAGAGCACTATTTCTATAAAGAATATCGGACGTGTTTTCATTTAAAAAAAACGCGGCGAAAACAGACACACTCCACCTTTCGAAGCAAAATCGAGACTGATGTTTTCGTTCGAGGCCAGAGAACGGAGCTCGTTATTGGTTGACAAGTGATTTGACAGATGCAATCGACCACTTAACAATAATAAACCAAACTATAAACACATGCGGGAAATGCAAAAAAAAAAACATATTTTATTAAATTAATAAACTACAATTTAAAAAAATGCGTGAATTTTTCGTGTCTACTATCAACCTGCTTCATCACTTTAAAACTTTGGTTTTTACCGGTGTTTGAAAATGACGGTTCGCATTATTCCGCAGTTATACATTTTTTCTTTAATAAAAATATGCGTTTTGACTTGACAACTTTGATTACTAAGATTACTTGTCACTTCACGTCTTTTACACAACACATTTAAAAGTATCATCTTTGAGAAGTGCAAGACTGCTAGTGCATAATGGGTACTGTCAAAAAAGTAACGCAAAAATAAGTCGGCAAGTAGGTACGTAATACGGAACTACTTGATAAATTATAGTAATTTTTAGCACTTACTATACTTAAATAGCATGAATAAAGTTTCTTTCAGTATAAAGTAATCGTCCTAGCTTACTTTTTAATTTTAATGGATAGAATCCTTAGTAGTACTGTTTTACTCTTTGGTAACTTTAGGTTTGGTTATTGCCCGAGTCCTGTCAAGAAGATACTGATGGTCGTTCTGCCTTCGATTTTTTTAACAATAAAAGTGTAATTTTTAGGGCTAGTATGGCTTGCAATTGTTTTATAAACAATATACTTAGTTATGGTTGTTTCTAAATATGATGGAAGCGAAAATACAGAAGCAAGTAACTGATTATTTTTCTTTTTTTGACGAATACAATACTGCGGCAAAAAGTAGTTTGAGAGAGTGCCAAAACCACGCAGATGTTATTAATAAATTGATAAAACGTTGTAAAAACATAAAAGCGTAAGTGAAATCATTGGATTTTTATTGTTTACTTTTTACGACATTATTTGCAATCGAATTGGATGTTGCAGAGCTCAAGTGGCGCGTTCACCGCTTGCGAAATTCGAAGATTTACAGAGCAAATTGTGTGCTTATCAACATAAACGAATTACGGAATATATTAATCTAATATATCATAAACAGTGAGTAATTTTTGTTGGTTCTATCTATGTATTAATATTTCTTGTATAGGCAGCTTCTTATTTTGTGTGTTTAGGTTTTAGGTTGTTAAGGTTAAGGCACATTGTATAACTGTTTGTAAGTCCTCGTGTAATAGCCTATATCTATGATTTGTGATAGTTAGGATTCTTTATTATTAAATTACTTGTTGTTTGAAATGTACTCATAAACATTAGCTCCAAGATACAACGGTTTTTTAAGTTCATAACAACAGTAAAAAAGTAACTTGACATCTCACACATAGCTATCAGATCATAAATTAAGTATAGTCTCTGGTATTTTGACTAAATTGCTGAGAAACATAATTAAATGTTTCTAAATACATAAATAGATAAACACCTAGAGATAGAACTCCACTCATTTTTTTTATTATAAAATCTTAATTTTTTTTTAAATTGTCTCTTGTATAGACTCTAAAGTCATAGATCAACACACACAATAGCACCATATCGAATAATTTACCTGTGATTGACATTACAAATAATTTGATTGATAAGACAATAGAGTCTACCTCTTGCAGTATTAACTTGAATACTTATAAAAATTCAATCATAGTACATAAATTAGAAATAATAAAATAGATAATATAATTTTGGTGTATTAAAATATTAGAGGAATGATGGGCAGAGACTTAAAGGTAGAATTGTTCATGAATTGCAATGTGATTAATATTTCTTGTATTACTGAACATTGGCTTAAACAGGACCAGTTCATGTTCAATTTTGATCACCACCTGGTAGGCAGCTCGTTCAGCAGAGGTACAGCAGCAAATGGTGGCACTATGATACTCATAAATAAGAAACTTAAGTTTAAAGAGTGCCATGAAATTATTAGTCTGTCAGTGGACTACAGAAATAGCCTGCATAGAATTAAAAGGTTTCATAGGAGTATGTGTTACCCCTTCAGCTACGTAGGATTGCTTTAAATGTGTTATGGATGAACGTTATGGTGTCTATGTGACGTAAAATGATTTAATTGACAATTTCTCCTAACCCATTTTGTGCCCTTAGTGTGGTTCCAAAACTGTAATAAGACTTGCGCTGCCCCAGTAAATTTACTTAACTCCTAATTAAAGTAACAAAATCGAAAAAGAAGGTCATCATTTGTGGTGACTTTAATATTAACAAATGATAATACAGTTATTTATCTTAAGTGGGAATCAAAACTGTAGGTACTGTGAGGCTCAGAAGTCTTTCTATATCCATTGTACAATTGGATTAAACAAGGGAACCTCTCATAATCTGCCAAAAAGCCGCTACACTAAAATGCCTTCCAATGGTGAGCGCTGATCAGTGTAGTGGCACGTGAGAAGTTATTTATTACGAGAGACTATTTTAGATTTGGTTTTTATCAATCTCTAGCTTTTGCCTGCGGCTCCTACCACGTGTATGTCGGGATACTACGAAGCCATATCTACCAGTATAGCAAATTCAACTGGCCACTTTGCACACATTACTATTTCTCTTTTCCAAAAAAGCTGTTTGATGAAAGCAAATGTAAAATAACCCTTAAATCACGCAACAAACCCAATATTTATTTATTTATTTGAAGGAAAATCAACAGCTTTCACATTGAAATAGTAACAATAATATATGTATAACATTTAGCCAATTAAAGGTCTTCCCAGATAAGCAGTATTTTACACAATTACGTGCGGCCAATGTATGTATCACATTAGTTACATATATGTTATCATTTGATTCCAAAAATGAAGAAAGAAATCTTACCTTAGCACCCGATGTACTGTAGTTATTTTAGTGTTAAAAATATCAATGAATGAGACTTGCAGATGTTATTTAAGAAACATATTCTGTCGATAATTTGATGATGCATTAGAAAGGTGAATAGGTAGAAATATGTGATAGGATTAATGTATTTTAATAATCTGTTTTCAAATTCCATAATTAACTATCATTAACCATAATTTCAGGTGTGTACTTGAAAAGTTAGCTGAAAATCTATACCTTAAAAACCAAGCCCTTAGGGAGAGTTGCAGAGAAATTGATCTTAATGATCTCAATTTAACAGTGGTGAAGGGAAGTCCTATTCAACCGTCACTAAAGCAACTACTGGAATATGCTGATGATACAATCTCATTTGCTAGTCATACATGTGCCCAAATTGATACAGCTCTGAAATCTTTGCCTCTTACAAAACTTGATACAGAACAGTTTGCAGATCATTTCAGTTATCCCATCCAGTGGTTCAAACGCATATCAGAGATTATTCAATACACAGCATTTATGTTCTAAATACCGATCTACAAAATGGATTTACTAGACTCTATACTCAATTCTATGCAAAAACCACCATCAGCTAGTGAAGCTCAAAAAAATGCTATGCGGAAACAAAAAGAAGCTATAGAACATAGACAGAAGGAAGAAAAAAATATGATCAATAGATTCAGAAAGCGTGTTGAGGAAAAGATAAGTGACTTTGTAAAGAATGTTAATAAACCTCACATTCAGTTTGAACCGATGGAACAAATGTATAGATCTATTATAAGAGAAATAGCTGAAACTGCTGGATTGCAGGTCTTCTCCTTTGGGCAAGAAGGCATTGACCGTTATGCTGTAGTTTACTCCAAAGATAATCCACCATCAGAGGACGAGTTGACCGTACGTAGATCAGGCGGTATATGGGATGAGGAAAAAGCGGCTGAAATGGCATTGAAACATATAGAGGAAAAGAGACAAGCAGCTTTCGATTTAGAAATGGAAAAGAATAGAAAAAGGAAACGTGGGAAGGAGGAATTGAGTGGTACTTTCTATAAGCAGAAGTATGCTCATTTGATTGGTGAAGATGCAGCCATAAGTGCAGCTCAAAAGACGAACATGAATAAAAGCTATGGAGAAGTGCCGAGTGAAAATAAGAAAGATCAACGGTCCATTGAACAAACAATGGCCGATATAAAAGCAAAGAAGCTGAAGAAAGCCGAGACGGAGAAAGCTGATGCGGATAGCAGTAATCAAGTTTAGTTTATTTCACAGCCAAATATTCAAATGATACTTTGTTTTAATATGACACTCATTCTGTCTCTATAAGTGATAGAGACAGACAGACTTGACAACGTTTTGCAAATGTGTCATTTAAAGGTTACATTTGATAGTTTCTTTTTTAGTAGTCTGAATGTGGTACCTGTCCATGTATATTTTTAATTGTGTTCTGCTTATGTAAGTTATTTTTGTTACTATCAACGGACCATGATTACCAATTGTATCTAAAGTTCCTTCTGACTACCTCGGTTAGTAGGATTCAAAATAAAAGTTCCTAAGAAGACACTTGATCAATTGTATTGACTTTTTACATTTAAAACTAGAAGTAGTACATCTCATAGTTAAATTAGTTAGCAAATATTGTTTGATTTGTGATTCATTCTAATTTTAAAACGTTTAATGTTGGTGCCATAGATCATGTGGCTTATTAGCGTTTTTTAAACTAATAGTTTGATACTACTGGCAAGAAACTTGGTCTTTTGGTAATAATCTATTTTGTTAGGTTAGTTATATATGTTTAACATTATTTAAACATGTTAACATTTAATTAGGATAATTACAAATGAAAAGGTGTTTTAATGTTGCCAGGTATAGCGCATCGTACACCTCTTTTGTGTTTTTAAATAGTCATAGTTGTATGTATATTATTATATTAAAATAAGATAATTGTTTCTAGAATTACAAAAAGCATCCCTTCACTATGTGTGTTTATTTAAATTAAAAATATATGTCAACCACACCACTGGGGTTGTTGTTTATATTTTTTCAAAGTAGCCACACCACTAGTGATTGAAATTTATGCTAGTTTTAAACAATAATCATATGACGAAATCTTTGGCCTTGGTCATTGGATTTCACCTGTGAAAAATCACTACCCTGATTTGGTCATAGACAAAGAAAAATGCCATCAAAACTTAGCAAAGAAAAAACAAATACAAATATTGAATTTTCTTTAAATAAAAACTACTACCTTTTTTTCTAGATGTAGACTTTACGCGAATCTGGCGCTAGTATTATCACAAGTCGCAGTGATTTTCTAGTCACAGATGTGATGCATGACCACAACCGCGTGTGATAAATCATATGATTCATCACACGTGTATGGGATATTATTCCATCCCTACACACTACTACTGACTAGTGATGTAAAACGTAGAAGAACACAATGTTTTAATTTTTAATTATTTTGCTGATATTTGCTGAGTTCACAAGTGGTTTGTAAAACGTGATAGCGTAATAAAAAAAAAAAAAATATTAATTTAACTTTTTTTTTTATCATGTCTTTGTTTAGAAGGACAAGACGGTAAAGGGATTACCTATATCATAGTCATGATCTTACAAATGATAAATAATTGACATCCATAAAGCCCAAAATTTTGTATTAGAATTTCATTACGGTGGTGCAGTTACCTAAAAAAAAAATTATAAACCACACCCCAATGGTGTGGTGCAGTGGTGTCGTTGACAATACACGAAATTGTAGGTTAATTTAAGAAATAATTTCTCTCAATGATCATAATTTCTAATGTCTCCTAACTGACGAAACACAAAGAAAACTTATATACTTCATAACATTTTAAAAAATATATTAACAGTTATCTTCGAAATACATACATATATATTGACAAGCTCAAAGGGCGATTTCAGTTGATTTACAAGTGTCTATAGATGGCGGTTGTAACTTGCCATCAGAGACCGAGATGCTTGTGTGCCCCCTACACAATAAAAAACAACAGGACTTCTACTATTTAGATTGTAAGTATGGAGGGTAGAGGCAAGGAGAACCATCTCATATGGAAGGAAAGTTGAAAAAGTGCCCAGCTGTATACTGAAAATATAGGCCGCTGGCGTACGAAAAACTACGATATGAACATAGCTGTTGTAAACGGAGTGAAGTGCGCTGAGTTAAAATATTATAATACTTTTATTGTCTGAAAGTTATTACACGTTTATTTATCGTCTGTTAAACTTGTTGACTATTTTCGGAGTCCAGTAAATCACACTGGTGCTAATTCTGTTCGAAAACTCTCTATACTTAACTGAAAATCCCAAAAGAAAAATTGTCCTACCAATTTCTACGTTTTCAGAACAGGAAACGTTATTTGACAGGACGAAACAAATTTTTTGTGATTTTTAGTTTATTTTAGAGAGTTTTCGAACAACAGAATTGGCACCAGTGTCTAATTCTTATTTAAGTCAATATTTTTTTAATTATCCTTATACTACTGTAACGCCCTCAATGTAACATATTTTGATGGATACTTCATACACAGAAATGGTTTTCTCCTTGCCTCTACCGTCAATAATTGTAAGAAACGGTTTGGTTCTAAATACTCGTTCTAAATCTATATTTATATATAATTTAATAAAACTGAAGAGTTTTTTTTGTTTGTTTACCCGCCATTAATCTGGTAATATCGATCAGGTTTTAATAATTATTTTTATATTAGTGAGAGTATTCACTGAGCCGTAGGAGTTGAGTGATGACCCTGACGCAGTTACAATTACAGGAAAAGGCTTGTATTACACAAGCCTTTCTCTGTAATTGTAACTGCGTCCCAGTATCTATCAATTACTAAAATATTATAAAAAAACGACACCATCTGTTTATTTTAAATAAAAAAAAGCCGTGTGGTGTCGTGGGACACCCGATAGGAACGAAGTTGTAACGATCGAGTAAAACTGATTAGACACGATTTTAATTACAACGCCATCTATGAAAGCGGCTATTACCTACATATTTTTCAGTTGGTTTCTAATTAAAACAATTTATACATTGGTAAAATCTCCTTGAGAAATGATGTCGAATACAATATTTTTTGCTCAACCTAAGAACATAAATTTTAATTTTACTATTCGATAGATGGCGCTGAATGACTGACAAGTGACTATTCAAAATAAAAAGTGTCGTGACCAATTTTCGTCGCGCGCGATAAGGAACTTCGTTCCAAAAAAGATTTGAAATTATAAAAAAGTTTTGAGTGAAAACCTTAAAAAAGGTGCTTTAAATGTCGTTGAGCTGATATATTCATTATTTGACGGCATTAATAGAATCATCACCATCAACAACCGTTAATAGTCCACTGTTGTACTATACCACGCTTACGACACCCACGAGATGAATAGACGTGCTGACACTCCATATTAGATTAAGAAATTTGTCACAACACCGATTAATACAACACATTCATAGAATATATTATTGTAACAAACGTTAAATATAAATTATGTTTACAATGTAGAGCGATAATATGATGATCGAATACTAGATGTCTTTTGATCCCATAAAATATTAATTTACCGATGTTGACATAAAATTATCTGATGGGTGATTGCTATTAATATCATCATTCTTGCTTAATATATAAATTAAAACCCGACTACGTTAAAAATACCAACTAGTAAACATGTTGCATATATTTTTAATCATCTTTTAATTCCATTTTTTGATACAACACCTGATAGAAAAAATGAGAGATCAAACATTTTGGCGCCAAAATCTATTTTATAATTTCAGCCAATGACACTCGCGCCATTAAAGTCAAATCGCCATCTATTGACGTGTAATTCATAAATTATGTTCAGCCGTTCAGTAATTACGATGGAGCTTATGAGGGACGGTACATAATTATTATTACAGGTCAAAATTATAATCCTTTTCTTGGGTTTCGCCACAGTCGGGTACAAAAAATAATGATAGATAAATATTAATATTGATAAATTAGAAATAAGGTTTCCCCCGGTGTAAACTTCTTTGTAGTTTGTGTACCTCGCTATGTATCTGATAATCCACAAGATGTAATATTTTTCTACTCAGAGAATTGTAATAAGACTGGTTTTAAGTTTATTAGATAGCAATACTGTCTAGTTAGGTAAATATTTAACGTGACTTTTTAAGTTTAAATAAACTTTATTTAATGCCCATTCGCCTTTTATTTATATTTCTATAATAATTCCTATAAAAGAATGTATGTCGCAATAAATACCTACCACTTAACTAAAGGTTTTTTTATTTTACTCTTCGCTGCCCTTTAGTTAGGTGGTCAGTTTAGTTAGGATTATAGTTTGGGACTTTAATCTCATCAACATCGCCTCAGTGCATTTAGCGCCTCGGAACTTTCTCTATTAGAGGTGTAAAGTAATGAATAGAATACACGGCTCACTTTCTGACTCACAAAAGACACTACATAAAGAGCTGCTTAGTGGTTACTCATAAGCGTACCCTTGTATTCTTGGAGTTACGTAGAGACGTAGCTTCGCACTGCATATCATGGAGAGTGCTCTGAGGAATTGTTCGGACTAATACCGGCCGCAACCTTCCGCCATCGTTCCACACGGCAAAATGTTCATACCCACCACTTTGATAATTGGCGCTCCACAACTGTGCGATTTTCAAGACACTTTTTGCCTCGCGCTACCAACCTGTGGAACAAGTTATCGGCTGCAGTATTTCCGGACCGATACGACCTTCAAGAAAAAAGCGTACTCCTTTCTCAATGGCTGGAAATGCGCTTGTGACTCTTGAGTTGCAGGCGTGCATGAGCGGCAGTAGTCGCTTTCTATCAGGTTCACCGTCTGCTCGTTTGTTTTTCCATAAAAAGAAAAAAAAAAGGTTTTAGTGCTGCGACAAAGTGAGCCAAGCCTACCTAAACAATTTTTTTTATCATTTGCAACATCTTCGTTTGAAGGTAGGTCGTTTTTACTTAATTTATATAAAAATGATACACTTTAGTAAAAGGCAAGAGTTGACACTAAAAGCTCTACAGAGGGCTTTGTGTAACTTTATTTATCAACTCGCTCTCGACAGCGAGCGCATTCGGCGTTGGTAGTCGGGTAAAAATACAAAATAGCACTAAAATTGGAAGGTAAGTGTTGACCTAGTTTTAAATCATTTAATAGAACCACGTACAAAATTTTTTTTTGGTTTCTAATATGTAGCTACCAAATAAAAACAAAAATATTTTTTCAGAACGTTTATTTACCATCAACACGTTATTAGGCATATGTACTTACACAGAAACAACAATATTATCGATAGGAATTTATAGTTTACATTCGTATCGCAACACTAGCTATAAGTATTCTATTTTGATATGGTAACATACGCTCGCACCGATTTACAAATTCCCGACTGAAATACGATGAAGAAAAGTTGCTATGCAAAGTATTTTGACAAGCTACCATAATTTACAATATTTTATTAGCGTTTAACAGTAAAGAAAAAAAAACATTGTTTATTGCTTAGGCGTATAATAAAACTAAACTACTCAGGACTTTAGAACACTTGTTTTAGTTGAAAAGTTTCGAACTAACAACTATATGTGTTGTTTAACTAAGATTGATGATTTAATTTCGTTTGTTATTCACTAAAAAATATTACTTGAGTTAATAAAGATTCAATTAAATTACATAACGAAACTCATACGTATAGTAGATGATATATTTTCTACATAAATTAATGTAAAGATATTATTAAACAAACTAAACAATATTGATTACTTATAACGTTTGTTCAAATATACGTTATATTACTTAACAAATGCAGTTATAAAACCAACCAGGAATACAGTTGATTATTTCGATAACTTTTAGATATTGTTCAAACATTTATTTATAAAATGCGACATTTTTTATTTCAATCGCATTGAATTTACTCGAATTAAAATAGAGTCCCATTTTAATAAAACAGAGGCTCTAAAACGGACGGTAAAGGACAGTATTAAATGGTGCACAAGGATATGGTAAAAGCTTTAGAATACTGCAAATATTTTCTGAAGAACACCGATCCTTTCATTAAGTTCTAAGGTATCGGTACCCTAACTCTCACATTAACGTAAACCTTCGTATTACAATCGATTAAAAAAAAAATATCGGCGCTGGTCGCTTTTTAAATTGGTTGATTAATAGAATTAATGTTGCTGTTTTTGTTCTTGTTTAGTTAGTGTAGACTACCGATATTTATACCAATGCCAATGGCCACTCGATGGCATCTCAATAGCGTGTCGGTGGTATGACAGTGGCTTGGCGTGAACATAAAATAGCAGAATTGAGGCCCAGGTTTGATGAAACTTAAAGATTTATGATTTTGGTTCTTAGTTCGTTTAGGTAAAAAACTTCAACAAGTTAGCTACAGTTGAAAAGTTTTTTTTCATACAAATGATATGTATAATAATATATTTACGAGATATTGAAGTTGAAACTCGATATGATGGGTTTCTTAAATTTACGGTAACAATAAATTGAGAAAAAGATTAAGACATGTGTTTGTATACGTAAACGGCGCAATATTTAATTGACTTTGATGTAACGCGTTTTAAATTTTTCATATAACACGAATATAAAAGAGTAAATCTTATGGGTTTAATTACTTAAATTGCATAACATCCATTAATTACAGGCAGTAGTACCTAGTTAAGATATATTGGAACAGGAAAGAAATATGCTATAACAACTACAAATTACTAGAATTGTGTACACATAATTCTAGTAATTTGTAGATCTGCGGTAATTCATTCTTTATCTAAAGGGTTTATTTTCTAATTTTCGTAAAAATGTATTTGTTGAACTGGAATATATAGATAGGTCAATTACTAGAAGCGAAGAATATTTGTTTTTGTTTTTTGGAGAAAACAATTCTAGTTCATGTTAATATATTTTTCCTAATTCATTCAAAATCCTCTATTTTATTATTTTTCAAGCTGTAGAACTAGATATAATTATGTTTGTTTATCTGTGCGGTTCGTAACACACTATTATAAATTAATGAGCACCTGACTACTAGGCATAACATGTTTTAATATGAATTATGAACTCTTAAAGTGGGTCTAAATATAGCGCTAATGATTAAATACACAACTAAAATAAAACATTAACTAAGTTATGTAACTTACGCTTAGTAGTTTAAACTATAACAACATCAATTGGCGTTATTTTTGTGCATAGATGATATTCTAACTCATTTTAAGATATTTTTTGATATTTTTTTTGATATGTATAATAATAGCTAGTAAAATAGATAGTTTTCAATAAATAAATAACAAAATGATAGCAATCTATTTTGTTTTGAAAGATTCAAGACTAGTATTACATTACACTTATTGTCATTTGCCACAACAAAAATTGCTGTTACTTCTTAGATAGAACGGATTGAATAAAAATAGTAAATTGCTTTAAATCGATACATATATATATTTGGAGTGTTTTAAAAGTTATTTCATGAGAACTCTTGACTCACCATACCTCATTTTTATTTTTATGATACATTTTCTCAATATTTGTATCATAATGTAGAATACACAAAAATTATTGTTGCATATCGTTACACTCATAAGGAACACCTATGTAATATGCGTAGTTTCTAAACTATATTTCTAATTAGTGCATATTATAACAATTACCTAATGTTGTGTGTTACGACATACTAAGCAGTTAAGGACCCGTCCGCACAGCGATATTTTACCGCGCTTTTTTTTGTGACACATGGGATCTATATAGGACTATCCGCACTGGTTGAAAAAAAAAATTGCGCTAAGAAAACTGTGATTTAATACAAAACTAACGCGATACGGTGGCGATGAAATATCGCTGCGAGAACGGGACCTAAAACAATAATTGTATATAAGTAAAAAGATAATATTCAATCAAATAACAACAATATTTAATTTTATCACATCGAATTTTAGATTTATTGTCTTCGTAGTAACCAGGTATACAGTTTCGCAGTCATTCGTATATGAAATAAAGTAATGTATGCTATAATAGTACAAACAATCATTATTAATTGTAAAAAAATATATTCCTGACTAAAATGATACGCTTAGGGCCCGTCCGCACAGCGTTATTTCACCGCGCGTTTTTTTTGCAAATATTCTGTGACACATGGGATCTATATAGACACACTGTTCTATCCGCACTGGCGGAAAAAAAACTGAGACTTCATGCAAATTAAACGCGATGCGATGGTGATTTATTTCCGCGCGAATAACATAAACCTCGCGGTGAAATATCGCAGTGCGGACGTGCCCATAGTTTATTTAACAACATTTTTAATAAATTTAGTTCTTCGTAGTTATTTGATTGTTAGTCATATTGGTGTGGTATGCGTAATACATACAAAGACACACTAATGTATCTGTGAGTTCATAAATTTTTGCAATGTTATTACGAAACAGTCATTTTTAGTTTGACTTGCACATTATGCGATACAAACTAAAAGTTATTGTCTTCTTAGCACTAAACTCTCATATTATATTTATAAATATATAACTTAACTACACTTCATGTTATATAGTGTAACTAAATTTTATTGTAAATTTATACATTTTAAAAGTTTATTGTCAAATACTTGCTAGAATGCAATGTGTACAGTAACGTCTGGTAAACATTTATTTAGATAGATACTATAACACACTAGATGTGGCATCTAAATATTAAATTTCTACGATTATAATTTACAAGTGATTAATTATTATTGTCATACGTCGACTAAGTTTTATTGTCATAGTCATACGTTGTAAATAACGGAAGTAATGTGATTTAAAAACATTTATTTATTTCTTAAATACACGTTACTAAATATTAAATGTAAAGCATATTTTTATAAAAATAACCAATAACCATAGACTTTCAATAACATTATTGTCATTTTTACTTTTTTATTAAAAAGAAAATATCAAAAATAGCAGTCTTTCATAATGAAATATAACAATAAAAAATTGTGAACAAAACATACTAAATATTTTTAGTTGATTTTTCAATCATAGACACTATAACCGTTTTATAACCGGCTGTTGTATTTTTCAATAAATTAGCAGTAATACAAATTCAACAATCAACAATAAATTGATACAAATGACAGGTTATTTAATCTAAGAAAGTACAGTATAATACAAATACCTAAAATATGTCCGAAATGTCTCAAACGATATAAACACACAAATGTGTATCAGATATGTCTATGGTTAAATTTATAGACTATGTTTTAGTGATGTCAACGATATTTTTTTTGGCGCCAATCATCACTCAAATCAATAATGTTAGATTGTAAACTGAACAGCTTCTTAAGATTGTGCTTATTTTAAACCTAATTTGGAACCTGGGTTCTAGGTTATCTCTTTTAACTTAATGATGGAACAGTCAAATAGTACCCGAGTCTTCTAATAAGTATGGGATTAATATAGCTATTATTATTCTAAATACACACATAGCAAATATAGCTAAATTTCACTACACGTTAACAGCCAGCATAGTATTTGTTTTACCTTGATAAACAATGCTAAGCTATAACATTTTAACATTGTTCCTTATCGAAGCCTCCTGAAAACAGATCAAACTATACGGGAAGTATGCCCTTTCAATTAAAGAATGAACTTTCGAAATCGAATGAAAAATGACGGAGTTCTAAGGAAACAAACTAAAAAATAACATATAGCTGAATTGAGAACTTCCTCCTTTCTTTGAAGTTGGTTAAAAACAGGATAATTTAATAATGCATTGAAATATTATAACAATGGTAAGACTTACCTAAGACTTACCTAAGACTACAATCGGACCAATTCGAACAAAATGGTGGGCCATCAAAGATATTTTTTACAATATTATTCATTGGACGCGATTAATTACGATATTCGTCTTCTGAGATCTTAAATCATTTTCAATGTGTACAATTATTGTCATACTTCTCTTCTACTGATGCTGTTTCGTTGCTCTAGTTCTATTCTTCATCATCGGTCTCGCAGCAGCCTGGCCAACAGCAACCCTCAGTCCCATCTGGTCGGGTACAAAACAAAAGAGTTTCCATGGTAGACACTGGTCTCGGTTCTATGCCATGGAAGTCGCGAAGTTCTTCGGCAGGGAACCACGCTCGTTCTTCATCGTCTATGATTGGGATCCCAAAGTATCTGGAATTGAAAATAACTATGTTGGTATTGACGTTGCTTTAACTACAGTTAAACTATAATATATTGATTCTTCACTTTGAGCACATGTTTTTGTGAACGTACTATTTTTACGATTTATTATTACGATTACGAATACAGAGTGTCAACACCCCTATTCATTCCGTGGGTGTCGTTAGAGCTGACTTAGATAGCAAGCTACACAGTACAATAGCACTGTAAAGAGAAGGAAAACTTGAAACAAGCCCTATACCAACTCGTCTAGCGTTTTTTAAGAGAGGCCCAAATCCAGCAGTGGTCTAATAATAACGAATAATGATGATGATTGACAATTTTTATAATTCCAAACACCCATCGAAGATAGTACGTACGTACGATCAACGTCTTATTGTATGCTTACCTATTGTGTGTATTTTCATTCCAAACGAGTTCAAAATACTAAGCTAATATTAGTAAAAATAAATCGAGAGACCACAAATTTTGCTGACCCTTCATGTTTCTTTACTATCAGGGAAGAACACATAAAAACTAGGAGAAATAAACAAATATTAACTACGTTTTGCTCCCTCTACTAAACAGTTTATCTGTTGCCAAGCATGTATTACAGAAAGGTTTTCGACACTATTACTGCAACAACAAACGAGCACGCGGATCGCCTGTATAAGTGACTATCAGTCTCCCAGAGATACCTACAATTCAAGAGTCGCTAGTCCGTTGCTGTTCATTAAATCCCCTTCCCCAGAATCATTTGAATCATGGCCCTCCCAGAAAAAAATTAAAACGGCAATCATTCCTAGCCTGGTAATAATGATATGCTTAATGACCAACCTGCAAATAGCCAACAGTGGAATCCAAAGTACAGATGCCATCACCAGTATCAATACCAACATAACTGACCATATTGGCCAGGGCTTCTTTTCTGTGTCTCCTATTGACTTGATCCATGCTTCGTAACTGGAACCTTCGGTGGCTAGCTCCCAAAACGAGGATACGAGTATAGACAGCATGGCTAATGGGGATAGATATTTCCAACAGATAAGCCAGTATATACCTGGACGTTGGCCTGTCATGAGTTCGATGTCGTCAGCGAATCTGAAAAATAAATAAATAAACATTTTATCCTTAAACCTCTACAATTTAATCAATGTTTGTGTTATTAGTTTGTTTCAGTTGTGTACCGATAATATTAGTACAACCAATCTATCAACTACTTGATCGCAAGTCATGATAATTGTTTTCAAAGTTTTGAAGTGATAACTTCTTATGGGAGGGTAAAGCACTTCGTTACGTAACGCGTTACGGAGCTAGTCCGTCTGGCTTCCCTTTCTCTCACGCATACGGCAGCGGTAGGCAGGCTTTTCCTCTCTCACTCTAACCCACAGCGCTAGCCTTATTTCGGACAGGCGTTTTAATTAAATTTAAGTAATAATCAAAGCTTTTCTCAAGTTAAACAATTAAATAGTTCAACTTTCATGAGTTTAAGTTATCACTTCTGTCGTTACGATCGAATTACATCGATTGCGGTCATGGAAGACAATTTGATGGAACCAAAAAAATGTGTGTTATTTAAATATTACTGAGCTTAAGTCCCATTTTACACATCCAATATGTAATGTAAGTTAAATATTGTTAACCATACTGCCCTAGATGATCATTACGGTCGATTCTTATTAGATTACTGGAATTAAGTCGTAATCCTCCCCTTGCGTCGCCTTAGAGGCCTTAAGAATCCAATTTCACACCACATTATCCCATAATACAATGTCAATGATACCGTAGGAAAACGATTAGAATTACAATAAAGTTTCCAGATCAACGGAAAGTACCAATAAAAAGTAACGACAAAGAAAAATGAATCACCTTTGGAAGGAACGGTGGAAATCAAATTTTAAGAACTTTTACGTAGAATAAGTGTGTTGAAGTTAGTATAATGCAATAAGAAAATGCGAGCTTGATGCGAAGTTTTAGTTAAGTTAGACAATTATTGTCTAACTTAACTAAAACTTCAAGATCGCATTATTAATCATTTTTTTATGCTATTACTTTGACGTAAAACATACGCTCCACCTGATTAACTTAGCCAAAGGCAAAGTAGTACACTAGCAACTGAGACAACATCGTAAAATCGACTAAATGAATTGCACTACTTGCAAACAGTTTTTAGCTCTATCATAATAAACTTAGAATTAAAAAAACTAATAAACCTTTACCTTTTATAAATATGTATACGTGGAATCATGTCCAGACTTTTATGTGCGGTCAGATGTAGATCATATAGATCAGAATAAGGACGCTGTTAGGTTAGTCCCCCTGTTAGTTTATTCCCAAAAAGGAGAGGAGCGACCCGACCCAATTGTACTAATCATATTAACGTTAATTACCTAACAAACTGTAAAATTAATACCCAAGCAAAGGAAAGAACTAAAACAAATTACATAATATATCATCCAAGGAAATGTATCTTTGGATGATGATCTGGTCTGTTCTAAATTTAAGTAATTCTCAAGAACTTTTAATGAGAAGTTGTAGTTTCCAGAATTCCTAATAAAATAAATAAAAATAATCTTAATCTACATCATTTCTGACAAATTGAATGGAGTGTTGAAAACATTTTTATCTACGAACTTTTATTTTTACGAAAAAAGAACTCATAATAAGACCGATTTTAAGATAAGTAGAACATTTAGAGAGAAAAAAATTAACTTATTTCAAATATAAATTATTATTATAATTTTTCTTTTATGGCTAGAGTGCTTTGGTTCATTTTTTACTTTTTTTACTGGGAAATGAATCCACCCGACCTGCTGACTAAAAGGTCTCAAAATTTCTTGACTTACATACTAAGCTTTTCTTTTAAAAATCCGCATGAGTTTATGCTGGCAACTAAAAATAAAAGCCGGGAAAGGGATAAAAGGAAAGAGGTCAAGACGTGTATTACAATCTCATTCGGATGTGGCTTTACGTAACAGTTGCCTTTGCCTTACAGTTATATAACGTGGGCGTTTGAAAACAAGACCGAAGCGGAATACACATTGTGGCAACACAAGATAATAAGACTAATTAAAATAGGTATAATGGTAGATAGATTTTTGGCGAGTAATCGTAATAATGCTGCATTATTGTAAATCATTACTAGTATTGTAAGATGTACTTTTTTTTGTGATTCACACGGGGTTTGAATGCCCATTTACCAATAGAGGATCCTTCATCTTGAAACCAGGAAGTACTTTTTCATTACATTATGTATCTGTTTTGTAGAAGCAACATAAATAATTAGTATTTTTCTGATAAACATAAATTCGTACTGATACTTGTCACAATAATCTCACGTTTTTAGAGAGTAAGAAAGCCGAGAAACGTTTACGAAATTGTATGCGAAGGGATATCATATTTTATCAACCAGCTAATCAAGGAAAAGGAAGAAATAAAACAAGAATTGGAAAATACGCCCTTTAGCTCACATTACACTTTTACTTTAATAGTCTACTGCTGGACTTACACCTCTCCTTAGAAAGGTTTTTCCGTTAATTATTACGCTTTATCGCATTTCCATATTTTTAGAGTTCCGTACCTCAAAAGGTAAAAAAGGAACCCTTATAAGATCACTTTCTTGTCCGTCTGTCCGTGTGTCACCACCGATTTTCTCAGGAACGGGTAGACCTAGCAAGTTGAAATTTATAACAGATACTGAGGTCTATGGTAACTATTAGGTGTTTAAAAATCAAGGTCCTGAGTCAACACGATAAAAAGATTTGGGTAGGTAAATTTCGATTTTCGCGAAAACTTATGAGTACCAAAATTTACCTTAATTTTCAACTTTTTTTATTTTTTAGAATTTTCTCTTTACTTGTGCTGTAAGATCTTGCTTTTAACCAATATTGACAATTCTAGGTCAACCGGAAGTACACTATAGGTTTTGAGTCGAAAACCTATATGATAGTTCCCGTTGACCTAGAATCACGAAACTTTTCAAAACGTCTTATAGCACAAATAAAGGAATAATTTCCAAAAATAAAAAAAGTTGGAAATTAAGATACATTTTGGTACTTACAAATTTTCGCTCAAATCTACGTCAAATCTGGGTAGGTACGGAACCCTCGGCGCACAAGTTCTACTCGTACCTGACCGGTTTTTTAAATCTTTTTTTTAATTGGGAATTTTATCCACATGGATACGTCAACCCCATCGTGCCTTATACTATCTACATTAAACAAATTCTTAAATAGATTTAAGTATAGTATTTATATTCTCTTGTTAGAATGACTTTGACGGGCCTGTTGAACTAGTGGTTAGTGACCCTGACTGCTAAACCGGAGGTCGTGGGTTCGATTCCCACCCAGGCCAAATATTGCGTGATGAGCAGTGTTATTTGTTCTGTGTCTGGGTGTAATTTATCTAAAATATGTATCTATTTAAAAACATACAAGTATGTTTATCAGCAGTCTGGTTACCATAGTACAGGCTCTGCCTAGTTTGGGATCAGACGGCCATGTGTGAGATATGTGAGGTAGTAGTAGTGGTTTAAGCGGTCGCCACGCCGCTTCCTATTACGTCGAAGTGTTCTGGGTTCAAAATTCCAAATGGGACAACACTTTGTGTGATCCACAAATTGTTGTTCTGAGTCTGGGTGTACTTTGTGTCCGTTCCATATATGTTTGTAAAGTTCCCCGCGACACAGGATTTATTCCTAGTGCGGGAGTTGTTTTTTTATCAAAAAAAAAAAGAAGACAAAGAGAAGTATTAATCAAAGAAATAAACTAATTGACTACGTCTTTTTCCCACTTCTGCTTTCCCAACTTGTGAATGACATCTGGTGAAAATGGATGCGTACGAAAACCTTCCTTTTCTTCTATAATTGCCACAGTTAATTAAACAAGATTAATATCTTATGTCGTAGCACAGATGATTATTACACCCTTTTGTTTGAATTCCCCTGAACTGCCGAACATTAACCTAAATAGTTTCTTGCATGAACCTTATTTTACACAATAGTGACCGTAATAACAACCATTATTAGTTTAATGGTGATGAACACCCGTATTCACAATACGACCAATGATCGCGCGTGTGGCTGTAGGCAGTCGCAAGAAGTCAGACGTTAAACATGGGACTAATGTTAGACTCGTATTTTAAAACCCTAAAAGATAGTACGTTTTCTTCACAATCCCATTTATTTCCTCGCTATCTAATTTAAAAAAATGTGTATTTCTGTTTAGTTCAGTTTTAAATTAAAGTGTCCATCCGGATATCACCACCACCGTGTGGTGACGGACTAAGAATACAGAGTGTCATCACCTCTATTCATCCCATGGATGTCGTAAGAGCCGACTAAGGGAGAAAACCACGCAGGACAACAGCACTGCAGAGGGAAGGAAAACTTGACACAAACCCTTTTTTTTTTTTTTTTTTTAACGTGTGGAAATCCCCTCGGACCGTCACCCCTCCGGGGTTTGCGGCGGGGTGGTGTGTCGGACTCGGACCGACTAAAACCACACGGTGTGCCACTCTGCGCCTGTAACAGGAGGGATCCGGGAACAGGTGTTATTAAGACATCCGGACCCCTCCTAGCGCCGGCCCGCTCCTGGTGCGGGCTCCGTCTCAAATTTTTTTTTTTTTTTTTTTTCCCCTCTCTTTAGGCGACGTCCGGCACACGCGGACGCCGCCCCCTCGCGGCTGGCCAAACTAATGCGGGTGGAGGGGAAACCCACCCCGTCCACCCGCGGCCACACTCAGGGCGGCATGAGGCGGTGATAGGCGCGCCTCCGCCGCCCGGTATGCCGGCGGCGGATCGGGTCCGAGTGGAGGTCGTCCTCCCGGGCCTTCTCCGCCGCCTCCTTCTGCGAGATTACTTCCTCGCAGAAGGTTGCGACCGCGGTAAAACAACTGTCGCTACCGGCCATGGAGCGTACTACGGCCGGTAGCGAGAGATCCACTCCGATGACTGCAGTGAGGTCCCGGCGCTGCGTCGCCCATGCGGGGCAGACCGCCAGCGTGTGATGGGCCGAGTCCTCACTGCAGTCGCAGTGGTGGCAGGCGGGACTCAGTTCCCTCCTAGCGACCGAGTGCAGGTACTTTCCGAAGCAACCGTGCCC